TAAGTAAAATATGTAGATGAACTTTTTCATTTTATTTACGAGCTTTCGATACAACTTGTATCATCATCAGGCATAATAAAAAAAATTTTTGTACAAGGAAAGATATATCAACGTAATACATTGATTAAATTAGTCTGATCCATTTAAAACAGCAATGTGTTTAATGAAATTTCATTAAATGCCCAGCGTAAGTTTCTACGAGTTAGTAATGTTTCTTTCATTTCTCGTCGTTGTTTGTTGTTGTCATATGCTAAAATTGTTGGATTATCAAATTTTAATCGATGTTGATTTGTTATAACATGTTCAACTATTTTATTATTTGGTGGATTTATTTTCTTTAAATTGTCTTGATGCTGTTGTATTCTTTCTTCGACATTTTTGCCAGTTTGACCAATGTAAAAATTGTCACAATTCGAACAATCTATTTTATAAACTACACCAATCTTCCTTGTATTGTTACCTTTGATTTTTTCACGAAAATTGTCACCAATCGTTTTGTTCTTCTTGAAAATAATTCGACTTTTTATATGGTATTTTCTAAATATACGCATTAATTTTCTACTGAATATGAAAGATTCATGGCCTAAATAACTTAATACTACATTGATTCTATTATTATCATCATTGTTCATACCACCCTTGTTATTTTTTGATTGTTGATTCTTTGTCAAGTTATTTTTTTCTTTTTCTTTACATAATGTTCGTTTAATTGTTTGATCGACTAATTTTTTTGGATAACCATTATTATATAGTACGTTTTTTAAATAATCAATTTCTATATTTAAGATCTCATCATTGGAACAAATTCTATAAGCTCTTTATTGTTAATGATGTGATTGATCCAATTTTTTGATACTTGGGTAAACATGAGTCCCATTTCATGTATAGGTTTGTGTTGGTACTTTTTCTATATTTTGATGTTAAGAATTTATTATCAGTTTTTTTTTATATTAACATCTAAGAATGATAAAGTATTGTTATTTTCTAATAGTAATGTAAATTTAATATTACTATGTAATGAGTTAATTCGATCTGAAATATAGAAATTGATTATTTAAAAAACGTACTATATAATAATGGGTATCCAAAAAAGTTAGTCGATCAGACAATTAAACGAACAGTA